TAGTCAGTTGGACATGAACAAACATGATACAAATAGAGGCTTGAAAAGTGCTTCTGCATTGGAGCTTGCCCTCTCTTGCTGCTGGGAAAACCTCCACCACCATGTGAACAAGTCTGGGTCCCCTTCTGGAAAATGAAAACATGGAGAGAGACCTCAACCACCCTGGTCATCTCAGCTGGGTCCCCAGACACGTGAATGAAGCCGTTCTAGACCATCCAGCCTGGCCAGAGCAAACACCCAGCTGACCTATAGAATCATGAGAAATAACAAATGTTTGCTGCTTTCAGTCACTAAGTTTTGGAGTTGTTTTTTTATATCTCTCAGAGGACAATTAACTCTGAACCAGGCAGTCTACAGATGTGTCACAGGTACAGATATTCTTGATCTCACTCTTACATTTTTTTGTGGGATTAACAAATGGCTTGCGGGATCTTAGTTCCCCGACCAGGGATTAAACCCAGAGTCCTAACCACTGGACCACCAGGGAATTCCCTCTTACTCTTACTCTTTTTGGAGGATTTGTGTTCAGTCAGCCATCAAAGGTTTAAACTAAAAGGTGAAAGCTTAATTGAGAAATGTAAAGCGATGGCCAGGGGCAGTGGAGCCTTCCTCAGGCCTCTGACACAGCTCCACATAGGTGATTCAGGTTTTCTAGTTACGTGTTCTCATAGAATGATGTGGCTTTCCTTCACTGCATTTTGTAATTCTATTTGGGTGATTATTTTACAATGTCTAGACTCAACTACAAGCTATTGGGCTATAAGCTTGATGAAGGCAAGGATTGTGTCTAATTTACCACTGATTGTATCCTGGCACATACTAGACACTAATTTGCTGAATGAATAAATTTGAATTTTGCCTACCTCATATAAGGGATCCAGGCCTTCAAAACCATCACTTAAAAGTATTTGTATCCAATGGGCCTGTCTCTTGCAGGCACTCCCAGTCACAGGCTGTTGCTTGATTCTCCAGCTGTGGCAGGTAATCAGGTGTAGGTTTGGGATGGGGAATCTGAAATCAATGAGATCCCAGGACATTTGTTGCTGTAATTCCTTCTACTTACACCAAACTATTGGCAAACAAACTCAAATAAACATTCCTCAAGACACTGTAGGAAGCTTGATACATAAGCAAGGAGCTTGGAGCAGGTGGTGTAACTGGGAAAGTCAGGTCTGGAGAATGTTCATATCATTCTGTGGACATTATAAGGCTGCAGTCACAAAACAATTGTGAAACCAATGTCCCAAGTGAGGCTGTTTAATTCTGACAATCTTTGGAAATCTGTCACTACCAACACCTCAAATATACAGTCTGAAGAGGAAAATTGAAAGAGCAAGAGTCAGACCGAGGTGGGTTCAAATGATACTAATGAATGACTTAGGCATGTTAACTTTTTCAAGCCTATGTTTCCTTGCCTGCCAAATTGGGATAATAACATTGCAGAAACAGCACCTCCCTTAGACTATAGGTACCTGCAGGGAGGGATCATTCATTTTCATATATATTTATCCAGTGTTTAATAGTGCCAGACCTATAGTAGATACAGAATAGGTGAATTTCTTCCTAGAGGTAATCCAAAACCTAGTCCTGGCTCCATCACTAATCCACCCACAGAGTGACCTTAGAAAATTTCCTCCCCATCCCTGGACCTCAACCTTCCTTTTTGTACAAGGAGGAGCCTGGACAAGATTTTTTCTAAGTTCCCTTCCAGATCTAATATTTAATGAGTCTGTGACCATTCAGTACAATCTACCGCATTGCTGCTCCCAGAAGTTACAGACTGAGGAGACAGTAGTAAGTCACCAATCACTTTGTATTTACAGATACACATGCATTTAAAACAGATTCTATAAATAGCTACAATATTGTATTGCACTTTTGGCCTACTTTTGCCTTTTTAGAGGTCAAGCGGTTTTTTTTTAATCTTCTTTTATTTGGAATGTTAAGCAAGATGAAAACTGGGACAAGTTGCCATAACACATATTATGCAGCTTGAACCTAATTGCACTATTACCATGATCGAAGAACGTTCACTGCCATCAGCTGGAAGCTGCTGCCTTCCACTCGGCAGAAACGAGGTCACAGAGCAAGGCTGGGGAATTGCCATCTAACAAGCAGATCTGTTTGCTGCCTGGTAGAAGAGTTTGTCACTATTACATTTAACTGTTGATTCCATCTGTTGTGAAGATGCCTGTTCCCTTGAACTGGCACCTGAGTTATTAGGAATTTGACAGTTTTTAAGTAAAAAATTCAATTTTTGCCTGGATACTCAGTAGGAGAGAAAGGATTATTGAATATATGTACTAACATACCCAGGGGGCATGAGGAGCTTGGTCTGAAATCTTAGTACCTGGGTAGATGGGTGTTACTGACCAGAAAAATAGTAATTATTCCTGACCTGTATAGGACTTTACAGTGTAAAGAGCACATTCAGAACACTGCCCTGGGAAGGGATCGCATTCTTCCATTGTCAGAGAACTTTATAAACTTATGCCCCATTGCTGATGCAGGGAGGCTGCTCGCAGCACTGCTTGAGAGACAGATAAGAATTGCCTGACAGAGGCAGATACAGGGAAAGCCAGCACTTAGGCCTCAGAAACATGGGCATTTTTTTTGCTCAGGCCCATGGGACCTGGTTGCCTCAGAGCCTCCTTCCCAGAAGCATTAGACAGCTATCACCTCAGATTAGCCTGAGTAGCTGAAAAATTTATTAACAGATTGGAGACATAAGTCTTTTCTCCAGTAGACTTGGAATCTGATGGCCTTGGGATTGAATTCTACTGTGGCTCTAACACTTGCTAGTTGTGTGATCTTGGCCAAGTCTCTTAACTTCTTTGGATCACTGTACTATAAGAAATGTAGTACAGAATGTGGGGAAAAGCACAGACCCTGGAGCCTACTTTCTGGCTTTGAACCCCAGCTCTACCACTTACTCATTATGTGACCTTAGGCAAGCTAGAGAACCTCTTTGTTCCTTAATTTCCTTGTCTTTAAATGAGATTGATTATGGTGCCTCCCTCACAAGGATGTTGGAAAGATAAATGAGTTAATACATGTTAAGTATTGCTTGGAGCGATGGCTAGTATTGAGTAAGCATGACAACAGTATTAGCCTCAGTGATATTGGGGTGATAGTCCTCATCTCTTGGGTTTATTTTGCAGATCAACAGAAATGTTGAAGGTGAAAAAAAAGAGTCTCAGAGTTATTTATGCCAGAAGGGACCCGAAAGATTACCCACGTAACCTCCCCCCCCCCTTTTTTTTTTTGCGGTACGCGGGCCTCTCACTGCTGTGGCCCCTCCCGTCGCAGAGCACAGGCTCCGGACGCGCAGGCTCAGCGGCCATGGCTCACGGGCCCAGCTGATCCTCAGCATGTGGGATCCTCCCGGACCGGGGCACAAACCCATGTCCCCTGCATTGGCAGGCAGACTCTCAACCACTGCGCCACCAGGGAAGCCCACCTCCCTCATTTTATAAGTGGGAAATCAAGACTCAGTGATGGGGAATAACTGGTCCAGAGTCACACTTGATTTAAGGGCAGAGTCTGAGTCTCCTGATTCCAAGTCCAAAGCGCCATCCTCTGCACTGTGTCAAAGAAGGCAACATCTCCACAGAGCTGACCCTGAAGGGTCCTTTTATGTAGTCATTGGACCCGTCGCTAGTTAATGCACTTTCCTAGGAAAATAAGCTGCATTTAGAATGGAGAGAAAACTTGGGAGAGACTCTCCCTCCTCCCCCACTGACTTCTGAAGTGTCAAGCTGGGGATTCAGGCCAGGGCTTGGGAGGAAAGATTCTCAGGAATCGTTGCTAGCTCCACATCATTGTTTCAGTTAAAAACCAAACATGTGCCTGTGTCCAAACAAGCTAGAACCATGAACTGATGCATTCAGGCTGTTTCTGGTGTCAGAGGCGTGTTTTTTTGTTTTTTATTTTTTTGGGGTGTTTAATTAAGTGGCTTCCACCAGAAGTAGTTTCACATCTGCTCTTCAGTAGAAACTAAGCTTTCACCCTCAGGAGAATGAGGTTAGGACTGGGACCTCTGAGTTCACTTTTCCCAATTTTTTCAGGGTCCTACCCCCTTAGATTTATTCTGCTTTGAATCACATTTCCCAGTTGGACTACTCAAGAGTGATTGAAACATGGGTTGGAGGAAAGGGCAGGATGGGGAGAAGACCCTAAGAGGAAGGGCAGATGGGATTAGAACTATTTGATTTAGAGAAAGGGCAGATTCCAGGGGTCATGATTTCTGTTCTCAAATCATCTAAGGGTGTCACGGGGCAGAGGGAGCAGAGACTGTGAAGTCTCTGACAGCAGAGCTGGTACAAATGGAGTGGGGAGAGGAAGAATTTCCAGGAGGCAGATTTCAGCTTAAAGCAAGGAAAACTTTCTGATTATGAGAGATGCCCAAAGATGGTGTGGAAACTGAGCTCCCATCCCTGCCTAGAAGGTATGCTTTAGAAGAGATTTGGCTGTGAGGCTTGACAGCCAATTGTCAGAGACATGAAGGTTGGAATTGACTAGTGAGACTTGGTAAAATTTGGGATTCCACCAACTGTAAATTTTTCAGATTCTGGGAGTCTAAGAACCAATGACCAATGTCATGGAGTTCCACAGTTAAGAACCTGCTGGAAAGCAGCAAAGTCAGAAATTTGTGACCTGTTTCTTTATCTTGCCTGTGTTTCTCTTTTTCTCTCTTTGTCTTTCTTGAGCTCATGCACTTACTCTTTCATATAGCAGGAACCTTTGTCATTTTGCAGGGGATAATCTTTTTCCTTTAAGTGTGTTTCTGACTCAGCCTTTGCTCCTTCAGCATCATTTAGAGAGGCTGAGCTCTCTGGAGATTAGCTCTGGCCTGTCACCACAGCAACTGCCCAGGCCCTGTGGGCATCCGTGGTAACAGGTGAGGGCTTTGAGAAACAAGGCTTGTCTAGTGGTGAGAGGAAGCCCCACAGGGAGCCTGATATGAAACAAGCAGGTTGTGTATGGAGAGGTCTTTTTCAAAAGGATTAGCTATGCAGGTGTGTCTCACTTTACACAGTTGGCCAGGCCCTGAAAAGTGTGCGTGGGTGTGTCAAATTTTGGTCAAGGGAGGAAATCTTATTTTAAAGGCAGAAAAGAGACTCGCTTTTCCAAGTCCCTGTAGTGAATCCCCTTCATAAAGTGGATTCTCCTTTTATAAAATGAACCTCTGCCCACATTATGACCTAGTTAGTCTAGTGCTGAGTGTCTGTGAGTGGGGCCATCCATAGAGAACCCCAGGGGCATGCTTCCACTTTCACTGCAGGCAAGGAACAGCAGCACATCAGCTGAGGGAAGACAGAGTATAACGGGGAAGCAGAGTGGGTGTGGTGCCACAATGAAGGGAGACCAGGACAGTGGGCCTTGCCTAGCATGAGCAGCTCTGCTGCAGCAGTGGCGGGGTGTCCGAGAGACGGGTGTTCTTGGAGGTGCCCAGCAAGGAGGGGTCTGTGTCCAGCGTATCAGACATCTTGTCGCAAATGGCGTCCACCAGACACTCGAAGGCCTGCCTCACGCTGATGTTCTCCTTGGCGCTGGCTTCAAAGAAGTCAAACCCTGAGGATAGAAGAGAGATAGCAGTAAGGATCTTTCCCTTCCTTTTCATGCCCCCTGGCCAGAACACTCTGCATTAATACAGCCAGTGCTCAGGAGTAAAGCAAGGAGGCCTAATTCCACGGGCAGAGGATTCTGCCTCAAGGAGAGGGTACCGGGCAGGTATTACCTGCACTGGTTTTAGAGTCAGACGGATCCTGGCTCTATCACTGACCAGCTGTGTAACAAGTCACCTATTTTCTTTATGAATCAATTCCCTAGTTTATAAATTGGGATAATTTTATCTATCTCATAGAATTATTTCAAGGTTTAAACAAGATGATGCATGTAAAGTGTATAGTCCTGTGCCTGATAACACGGCGTGTGTGTGTGTGTGTGTGTGTGTGTGTGTCTGTGTGTCTGTGTGAAAATTAGGTGTTTTCTGAGAGTGACTACTTGACTATGTGTACACAGCACTTGAGCTTCCAAAGCATTGATCAGCATCCATTATCTCATTTGATCCTCATGTCACCCCTAGGGGAAGGAGGGTCCAGGCAGAGCCTCTCCATTTCACTAATGCCCACGCTGTGGCTCAGAGACGTAAGCTGACCTGCCCAAGGTCACCAGTATAAGAAGCCCAAGCTTTGTCATTTTTGACCAGGGCTTTCACTCCACTTTCCACAGGGCTTTCACTCCACTTTCCCCTGCCTCTACTCACCCCAGCCTGGCCAGTCTAGTCTGGGTTCTGGGAGACACTCCAAGATCCACACTAAATAAGCGGAGCTTCATTTGCTCTGTCTACTCACAGACACACTGGGTTATCTCCCCTCAGAGGGGTTCCTCCTCCCTGAATTTCCAGGAATCGCCCTGGATCTCTCGCTCCTCACACGGACCCAACAAATTGCCCAGGAAAAACTGCACCTGAAGGGTGAGACATTCTTGTCTGTTTTGCACCTTGAGATCCTTAAAGGTACTTTCTGTGACAATGAACAGAACTTGGTTGTCCCAGGAGACACAAGCAAGGCCCTCCTGATTCAGACAAAGCAGGCTGCTTTCCAACTGAGGGTCTTGGCCAGGTTGGTGGCAGCCCTTAGAAGCATAAGCCTCCATTCTCCATCATGTCCCTGCGCCGGCCTACTCGTTTGTCTGTCCACCTTCTTCTTTCCCTTCCTTCTGAGTCCATCTTTATTTCGCCTCAAAAGCTTCCCTCTTCCCTTTTTTCCATGTTAGCTCCTTCTTTTCCCCTTATGTTTCTCATACTCCTTGGGATCCTTAATATTTATTGAGTGCCTACTATATGCCAGATGCTATGCTAGGAGCTTTACAAATATTGTTTTCCTTAATCCTCACAACAGCCTGTGGGGTAAATATAATCACCTCCAACTTACAAAAGAAAAATGAAGGCTCTAAGAGATTACCTAACTCACACAAGGTCACGTGACTGTGTTAGTGGAAACTGGTTTTAGATCTGGGTCTGGCTAGCTCCTACATCCATACACACCCCTGCCTCCCGTTTCGGCCTCCTTTGCTTTTATCTGACTACCACAGTGTCTGAATCTGGGCAAGTCACTTCATCTTTCTGAATCACTTAACCTCTCTGAGCCTCCTTGTCTTCATCTGTAAAATGAAGACATTAACATCTTTTTCCTGGGGGTCCTCATTAGGAATAATTTAAATGAAAAATGTTACACATGAAAATTGGAAAGACATGGAAGTGCCTAACACATGAGGCAAAATAATTGTTATTTTTTAAAAATTACTGAGAGCAGTCCTGGAGGATTGAGCGAGACAATGGATAAATTGCTGTACAAAGTCGCCTGTTACAATGACAGTTTCTTTCTGCTCGTCTTTCATCTGCTCCTCTCACTTCCTCTTCATCCCTTTCTCCCTCTTTTGTCATCCTCTCACACAGAGGAGGGGGGTCTCTTTCCTCCTCCCTCCTTCTCCCTATTATCCCATTGTCCACAGAGAGGGCTGAAGCCCCCAGGTACAAACAGGGCTCCTCTTCCCCGGGCCATGCCAGCTTGAAGGCACTCGCAATTCTTGCCAGCCTGCCTCTGGTTGACAGCCTCTCCTGTAGCCCATTTCCTGACGTGGGAAAGCAAGGTGCAGAAGTGCCTGCTAATTGAGGACATGTGATGAAGAAGGAAGAGGCTGCTGGCTCCTTATCCTCAGGCTGTAGAGACGCAGTTGGCTTGAGAGACCCTCCAGCATGTAGCTTTTCCTTAATGAATATCATAAACATTGACTCTCTGGCCTTTGACTGGTTTGTTACAAGTGACAGTGTTTGGGGAAGTGGGCAGAGTATGTTGCTTGCCTAGGAAAGGGGCAAACAGGTAAAGAAGTAAATAGGCTTAAACCATCAGTTTGGATGAAGATGGGGACACAGGTCAAGGCCAGGATCACCAACCCCTTCTGAGGAATTGGCACTGAGGGGAGGACGTGTCCCATTGCGCAGGTGGGCAGTGGGAAGAAGCCCAGAAGTCAGACAGCCTGGATTTGAATATAGTCTCTGTCAGCTACCAGCTGTGTGACCTCAGGCAAATTGCCTAATTTTTCCCAGCCTCTGTATCCTCATCTGTAGAATGGGTGAATAACACCTACCTCATAGGGTGGTAATAAGAATTAAACGCACAAAAGTATGTGAAGTGGTTGGCATGTGTAATACATGACCATTCCCTTTCCCTTATGTTCCCAGTCCATCTGAGTCCCAGCTTCCTTGCCCCTCCATCAGTCCCCAGGGCCTTTGGGGAAAGCCTCTTTTTCTTCCTCATTCAGGGTCAATCAATAAACCAGGTCTTTATTGAACATTAACTTTGTGCCAGGTCTTGCACTGAGTGCCAGGGACAAGGGGAGACCAAATCTAATTGTGGAGAAAAGACACACTTATCAGAGTGTCAGTCCCTCACACGTTCATAGTCCTTAACGATTCCCAAATACAATTTTAAAACAACTTTTGGGCGGGGGGGCAAGGCAAGGGTTATCACTTATAATTTACAGATAAGGAAACTGAGGCTCAGGGATGGGGCATAAGCCAGGGCTCTATCCCTTATGCCCCCTTGTCTCACTCTCAGTTGGGACAGTGACAGAATACACTATAACCCAGGTAGAGCAAACCAGAGGCTG